TATAATGCTAATTCTTTCCTCCATATTGTCAGCTCTGTTCTTTAAAGGTTCCAGATTCTCCTTTATCTCCTCCACTGTGTTCTTCATCTCCATCAGTACTGATTCTTTTTTATGATTTCAATCTCTTTTGTGAAGAAACTCCTAATCTCCTTGAATTGTTTGTCTGTGTTGTCTCGTATTTCATTGAGTTTTTTTATGATAGCTATTTTGAAATCTCTGTCGTTTAGGTTATGGATTTCTGTGTCTTCAGGGTTGGTTTCTGGGTGCTTGTCATTTTCCTTCTGGTCTGGTGATTTCATGTGTCTTTGCACTGTCGTTCCTGTATTGGCTTTGTTTTTCCTCATCCTGGAAATATCTGTTTGCAATTTCCACCCGCCTCCACTGTGTAGGGGTAAAGGGCTGTGTAATCTGAGCCCCCTGCGCTGTGCCCCGGCTGTTCGCTGCAATCCACCGGTTGCTTGCTCTGGTCTGGTCGGCTGAGCTGCAGGGTCCGGCTTGTGGGGCTGGGGGCGGGGGGCTCTCTCTTTTGCCCACTAGGTCCCTGGCGTGGGGGGCTTCTCGTTCGCCCCTCGTTATCCGCTCTCCTGGGGTGCTCAGATGTCGATGGTACCCCGTAGCAGTTCTGAGTCCTCTGTGTGGGAGTTTCCCAGCGGCTGAGAGAGCCCAAAGAGCTACAGTCTCCCTGCAGAGGGCCGCCCCTCCCCCCTCTTTGGGAGCCACGCAGAGCAGGATCGCTGATCTGATGGGGAGGGAGAGGAGTTCTCCTTACCTCTCCCCACTTCCTCTGGGGGCCCAGCACGTTCCACCCTCAGATGTGCAGCAGTGTGGATCTTTCCGATCTTGCTTTTTGCTGTCTAGGATTCCGTTGTTGGTCTGTGACTGTTCCTTTTGTTGCATCTTATCGGGGGAAGAGTTTACGGGAAAGCTCAGTCTGCCATGACGCTGACGTCACTCTCCCATCACTTTTTTTGATGGAAGAGAAGTTAACAAGACATATTGGGAATATTTCTTAAAATTTAAATTGACCCTGATTTATTTTCAAAATAAAAGTTGTGATCCATGTTCTCAGTTTGTAGAAATATAGAAAACATTTTATAAAATAACAGAGTAGACTTCCTTTTATTATCTTTATATAAAATTCTCACAGTGCAAGAAAGTAGTCACTATTAAATATGAAGACAGCTAAAACCAGACAGTATTATAAGGCAGAATATTTTGCTGACCCCTCCTAAAAAATGTTGGCATGTTCGTTAGCTGCCCAGGGTATTAAAAAAATCACAAAATAGCCATATCTTACCCTTCAAAACATTTTTATACCCACAGTGAATCAAGTGGATGCTGGTGAATATAACAGCTCATGAAAAATCGACACATTAATCTCTGTTAGGCAGCACAATGATTTAAAACCATCCAGAAGAAAGCTCCCCTTAAATATTTCTGAATGTAATTTTTTTATCCATCACCATAATAGCCAAGTGAAAAGCAGTTATACCCTGTAGAGAATCTAAAGGAAAATATTTTACTTGTGCTGCTCCTTTGAAAACACCATTTCTTAGCTCTCAAACAGAGGGTAAAACTTGAATGGAGAGGAATCCTCCATCAGTAAAAATGTCAACTTGATCTTGCACAAATATCTCATTTAGGAAAAAAAAAGGAATTATTTTGATTCAAAGGATTCTAAATATTTCATCATTATAGGAAGAATATAATTTAAAGTAACACTGTTAACAAATTGAATGAATATAAATCACCCATTATCATATCCTATTATTTTTCACAAAACCCATAATTATGAATAATAGACTAAGTAAGATATCCTTTTTCCAAAATTTGGAAGCCCTGGGCAACCACACAGTCCTCTGAATCTCAGGACTTTCATCTATCAATGCCCTTTTACACCTCAGCTAATTCACAAACTGAAATAAAATTGTTAGTTTTACGTAATCCTTTAGGGCAGGAGTCAGTAAACTATGATCCATGAGTCAAACTGACCCACCTCCTATTTTAGTGAATAAGGCTTTGCTGGAACATGGACTCAACCATTTTCATTCAAGTACATATTGCCAATGGCTGCTTTAACACTCCAACAACAGAAGAGGAATGTCACAGAGACCATCCAGCACACAAACACAAAGTGGCCCTTTACAGCAAGTTTGCCAATCCTGCTTTAGAAAATGAGGTAGGTATTTCACCTCAATGCATTTTTCAGATATATAAAGCTCCCCTTTTAAGTAGAAAAGTCTTACTTTAAACATAAAGTAAATGTACTCTGTATTTTCCATATAACTGACAATACAATCTCCTAATTTCATAGTTCTGCCTCTCAGACTTGGCAAATGGAGTGGATCAGCAGACAGGAGTTTGAGTCCTGGCTCTAATTCTTTGCAATCTTGGGCCAAACTCAACATGAGGATTATACCATCTGCCCTGCCAATCACTCACAATTTTGAAGACTGAAAGAGGTATAATGTATGAAAGTATTTGTAAACTACAAATCATCATACAAATGTACTGATCACTTTTTAAACATCACTGCTTTAATATAATAATTCAAAGATTCAAATATTGTATTATATTCTATATAACAAAAGTCCTAAAACTACTTAATCTAAAGTAGATACCATGGATGTAATATAAACAGAAAACAAGTTGGTATCTATACATCACATACGTCGAACCAAATGTTTTTTGTCTTGTTAAGTCAAGGAGCCTATGTTTAATACCATTTTAAAGCATGCCTTTAGTCAGATGGAAATCTGTAGAAGGGATTTTTGAAAGATTTAAAGGATAAGGCATAGTAACTGGATGGGAGAGGCATATCCAAGTACAACCTACGTATGAGAAAAAGTGGGTACAGGACAAAGGAACAGAATAATGAGTATATCAGAAAAGTATAGGAGAAGTTTTGTTTTTTTTTTTTTTTTGGTGAGGAGATCAGCCCTGTGCTAACATCTGCCAATCCTCCTTTTTTGCTAAGGAAGACTGGCCCTGGGCTAACATCCGTGCCCATCTTCCTCCAGTTTATATGGGATGCCGCCACAGCATGGCTTGCCAAGCAGTGCGTCGGTGCACACCCAGGATCCAAACTGGCAAACCCCGGGCCACTGCAGCGGTGGAGTGTGCATGCACTTAACCGGTTGTGCCTCTGGGCCGCCCGAGAAGCTCTTTTTTAAAGAGATAAAAACTCAATGAGAATTTAATTCATTTCTAAAGACCAGAAGTCATTCAGGTCAAAATAACATCTCAAAGCTAAGAATATCCCATTAGAATATGCTTTTGCTTTATGGCTCTGTACCAACAACTACTCTGATGGCACAAAATTAGATCCATGTTAACAAAAACTTACCAGAAGAGACATTGAATCGCTTTAGTTCACAGGAAATGACACAAAATCCATCTATTCCAAAGAAGATTTTTGCTTTATGTTTAGGATGCAGAAATATTGTACTATAAAAAACAAAAGCAAAATAGTTTAGATTTATATAAAAGTACCTTGAAGAACTAGTTCCCATAAACCCACACAATATTTAGGCAGCTATTCTGTGAGACAAGGACTAGAGACATTTCTGAAGTGACTTTAAAGAGCATTTCTGTTCACTGAACACTATCTGGGATCTGACGTCACAACAGAAAGGCAGAGTGAAGTTGAAGGGAGGGTCTGAATATTTCCAAAGCCTCAATATACCTGCATTTCTCCTTCCCTATCTTTTCCGTACTACTTTGTTTAAAGAACCCTAAGCAAATGTGGAAGCAATATAGAAAAGCAATGTTGGACCCACTTTTTTTTTTTCTCC